GACTCCATAAAGGAAGATATGTCCTCCACTTTTAAAGACTTGACTTCCTCCTTCAGATATTTTTTCTCTTCATCCGACATCCCTTTCCCGAGTGCGGATTTACTTTTTTAATAGTTTTAGAGATAATCGACATAAGTTTATCAGATGAATTAAAAACTAAATCCATGCCAGGTACCAGAGCTATACACAAACCAACAAACATAATGCTTAACAGTGTTTAACAATCAAATCAAAAGCAGATCGTCCTCCTATCTGTTACATGAGGCAGAACCTGAAGAAATCATCTTTTATATTTTTACTTTTTATTTCCTTGTTTTAGCAAATCACATCAAAAATTAAATCAAATGAAAATTTGTGGGTAATGTCTTCACGTTCTTAGAAAGTTATTGTGGGCCTGTGCCTATGGCATCTTTAACCGAATCTTGTCAATAGTAATTTCTATATACCATGAACCTCCTGGCAGTTCTACTTCATATGAAGTAATAAGTAGAAACATCACGTATCAAACTTCAAGAAAAGCACCTGGTGCTATGAAGTGCTGTTAACAAGGGTCATTTGTTTCAAATTCAAGGTTAAACCTTCAAACCTAATGGAATTTAAGTAGATCTCTAAGAAGCTTTGTATATGTATCCAATTGATTCTTTTTGTACTTGTATTCATAACAGCATATTAAAAATTTATGCAGAAGAATAAACTGTTCTCAGCAATTAAAAGTCAGATACTCATAATATTATAACAACAAAATCATGAAATATAACAAAAACAATTCACCTGTTCATGGTTCTTCCAGTAAATATTACAGGAAAGAATTTCGCATACTTCCCAACACCGAAGGTTTCACCCAGTTGTTGTATTTTTTGAGAGTCCAGTGAGATTAAAGCTTCCCAGAGAAGGCAATAGTTCTTTCGGAAATCTTCAGACAATGGTTTATAAATCCCATGATCCAGAATGACTACATTTATTAATTTTATGCAAATAAGGAGTCAATTTAAAAATCAAGGAATAAGGATGACATGATATGATTAATACCTTGTTAAGAGAAAAGTTGCGAGTATTAAATGTTATCATACCTAATGAATAGCCATCAGGCCCATGTGGTGAAACTAAGATATTTCCAGGATGTGGATCTCCATGCAGGAAACCATGGACAAATATCATCTCAGCAAACACATCAATCAGTGTTTTTGCCACCTATCATGAAGAGAAAAGTCATGTCACTCGTTTGATGCAGTAAAGATACAAAGCTTAGGCCTTTTTTATCAGCAGAATTTTGATCATATAAGGTCTAACACTCTAACCTATCTGCTAGTTGAGTATAAGGTTATCGCAACACAGTATAAAATCATGAAAAAAAATATATATATGATAAGATACAATAGGATTATTCTTTCAGCACACAAACCTTAAGTGGATTTATTCCCATTCTGTTCAGATATTCCACGTCATCAATCTGAAAACCATGGAAAAGCCCTGTTACCCCTAGTTGTATTTCAATTTCAGTGAGGTCTCCTATACACAGAGGTACATTGACAGTGATTAGGCAACTGAACGACTCACTAACACATATCGACTAACGCTGTACAATTTTTCGGTAGAACTTGAGAATAACTAATTTACACGTAAAGAATGGACAAGCTAGACTCCAGAATTCATGCACTCCGATGTATGCTCAATAAACATAGCTCTCAGGTTTTTTCCACAGTATGTCAAATTAAGTGTACCTTCTGTCCTTTACAGAACTGCATAGTCAAGACCTGTCTGCTTGTGAAATCCTGGTGATATGAACATCATACTAAGCTCAGAGATATAATTAACAAATACTTTAATATAAGATATATAGATTGTGGAATGCATATTGTTTCTCTCTAAAGTTGTTGATAAATATAGCATACCCAGTAAACACGAGGGATCCTGACCCTACTGTTCTTTCGAAAATTATATGCTGCTCTTTCCGAGTTTTTAGCCTCCTGAATGAAATCTATAGAACGATAAGAAAAAGCTATCCAAGGAGATTCAGATAAAGTGAAAGAAACTGTTACGAGTTTTCAGCTAATATTCCCTTCCACCAAGAGTTATGCATGTGACGAAAAGCTATATCCCAAAGAATATTACTTGCACAAAAAAATTGGAACATTACAGCCAAAAGTAACCAGGAAGAGAGGGAAACAGGAAAAGGTAAGGGAAGAAAAAGGGGAATCCATGCATCTTATTAAGGCAGTAAACCTGGAGAAGTTGCTCATGAGATTAGCCAACTAGGATTTTAATAAAGGAACTGAAATGTTCTTGATTTATATTTCAACACAAAGCATACAAGAATTCAAGTTAATAATACAACTAAATAGTAACTAATATTCTCACAATTGGTGATTGATGGAAAAGAACCAGTCAGACTCACCAAGTTCAGAAGCAATGGACTTTGTAAATTCTGTAACCAGCCACTGAAACCTGTACTCTGGAAAAAGCTGAAAAAAAAAAGGCAATCGATTTTGTAGAACCTGAATCACAGAGTACTTTGCATCTACCCCATTTCAACCTCTGTAAAATACATGGATAAAGGAACAGTCCGAACCTTAATATTTTTTGATACATTCAAGTATTTATCCACACCACAAGACTGAAAAATTGCTTTAAGCAACTAGTCATGCTATTGAATCACAAATTTAGAACAGGAATATCAGGAATTGATGTCGATTTTGACATCGACCTAACAATCATCTAGGTCATACTTTGTAGATCCTTCGAGAAATTATCACCTTTTATATCAACAGCAAACAAGTCAATGTGCTTTAAGCATCTTACAACTGAAAAGCTTCAGGTAGGACAGAGAAAGGAGGCCACGGAGAAGTAAGTAAAAAACAGCCGGAAAAATAGAACTGAATATTATCTTGATATACCACTATACCAGACTTTCATATAAAAATTTCAACCCTGCATAAGCAAAATAAAAGTAGAAGTAAAATGAAATATAGTAACAAGGATAAACCTTATGTTTAAAGTACTTGAAATAGCACAATGCAGATTTTGCAAGTGCATTCGCTTTACATGCATGTTTCTCTTGAATAGTCACCCAATTGATTTCTTTGGGGAAAATAAACTTGTCAGAAGGCTAATGACATTTTATGTTAATGAGAAATGAAAATCTTACCCATGCAACAAATCTGGATAGGAAAGCCATGGTTGTGAGGTCAAAATTCATTTGATACTCTAATCCTGGATATTGAACCTGCGGTTCAGGTGCCGTGAGAATTAAAGCATGTATAATGATCAATGGGTCCGAGTAGAACTCGTCCCAAAAGCTAGCTCAAAGAAAGAAGGTGCCTAACCCACATATTTACACAATAACAGTCCAGTAACTAATCGATGTGGGACAAACAATAACTTCTAACACCCCCCTCATGTGCAGCGTGCCAGACCAAATGAGCCGGTTCCAACTAACAAATCTGGATTCTCTAATACAATGATAAATGGGCCTCGATAGAACTCATCTATAAAAGCTAGCTCAAAAGAAGAGGGCTCCCAACCCACCATTATACACAATAATAGCCCAGTAACTGAGATAAACATAATTTCTAACATATATTGATCTAGAATTCTCTTATACACTAAAAGAAACACAAGCAAGCAATGACAATTTGGTTGTTGTATAACCACACATGAAGAGCCAACTCCAAATAAATGATTTTTAATTCAGAAAAACAATAAACATAAAAATAAAAATATATAAAATAAAAAATAAAAAATACTAATAATAATAATAAAAAAAATACTCATCAGCCCAGTAATTATGCCATTTAAATATTTCGTTTTATGGTGGTTGAAGCTAATGAAATTTCCATATCTATACTACAATCCATCTGCATTCACTGATGGACAGAACCAGAGGCCTTAACGTAACGGACTTGATGTTTTCACCTAATCAAAAATGATATAAAGCAATAAGATTAATAATTCTAGCTCTTTCGCAGATTGTATAGTCTTCAATCTATTCTACAATATAGTGTGTTAGGTAAGTATGAAGAAGCGAGATATATAAACCCCCAACTCACCCTCACCCCCACCCCCTGCCAAAAGAAGAAAATGAAGATGTGGAATTACCTTGTCAAATATTAATACTTAAGATACTGTAATAACAAATAATGTATAACTTAGAAACTTAAAGAGACATAGTTCCAAGACAGTGGATAAAACCTTGACCGCAACTTCCTGATGGTCTTGCAAATAGGCATGGTGTACTTGAGCAATTGAAGCTGCGGCAATGGGTTGCTCATCAAATGAGTGGAAGCTGAGATTCATTAATCCACATTGGTCTGACCTCTTAACAAGAATTAATAACCAAAAAGGAAATTCTTCTATGGTTTTATGGAAAGCTATAAACAATTAATAAAAACATCTAAATGATGGAAAGCAAACTCTTTCTTGGTCCTTTTAAAGCTTTATGTTGGTTGGTAGAGCTTAGTTAATTTTGTAAACTTCAGACCTACATGCCGCGATTTCTTAAATTATACGTATGTGGAAAGGTACAGACAAGATAAAAGCCAGCAAAAGTTATCCTTTAGGACTTCAAACTGAGAAAGTAATTTAACTACAGTTTTGAGAGCATTAAGCCAGTCAAAACTTACATCTCTGACAAATCCTTCCCCAGACTCTTGACTACAACTTCTTTAACAGCTTCGAAATCACATGGAACTGCCTAAAGCATTGCCAGAGTGAATTTGCATAACGACTAACCAAAATGTTCTGCTCAACAAAAACAAAAACAGAAAATGATTTTAATTGAAAACCTGATCCTGCAAAGAGGATAGAGTTGAAGAGTATTCTCTTGGAACTTGTCGCATGGCTGCAACAAATTGACCAGCTTTGATGTAGAAACCTTTGTTTGCATCACACATTTTTAAAATTCTTCCTGCTGACCGTAGATGTATCTAGAAATAAAAACAAAACATCAATAGTGATACTTCAAAACCAAAATAAATAATAAGTAAAACAGGGGAAGGACGTTCCTGGTTGACTATGCCTCTTCCATGTGTGTGTGTGTGTGTATGTGTGTGTGTGTTTATTTTATGTATAAGGGAAAGATCAACTCTGCTTTCAAATAGAGACAAAAAGAAACAAAGATCACGTAGTAAGAGAAGGGTTAATGATACAAAAGCTGAACAATAAGAAAAAGTTTCTGAAATGAGAAATGCTCAGTATCTTCAAAATTTAAGCTTTTGAATTGATAAACACTGACATGCTTAGGTGTTGAGAGATCGACCAGTTTGAATCCCGAACTGATTCATTTCTAGTACATACTAAGGTTGTTCCAAGACATCCTTAAGCGAGAAACATACCGGATACAACCACTTTCAACAAGCTTAGACAAGCCAGTATATTAAATATTTCAAAGATAGAGGGTACCATCAATGATATTTTGTTATCTAAGAAACAATCGATCTAAAAAATATTGGAATGAACTAAAAACCAGTCTGAATGCAAAGATTATTACCATGATTGTTTTTCAAACATGATTGCAGGACTGGCAGACTACAAGAAAAACAGGTGCAAGCGGGAAAAGGCAAAAGCAGTAAGGTAGAAGATGTTTGGCTTTGAAGTTTGGAAGGAACTTAGATTCATTGAAATGAATATTTTTTCTGAAGTACAATAAAGATAAACCAAAGTTTTCTGCAGATTCACTGAGTTCAATCACCACATTTTTACATACCGTCTTCCATTTAGAACTCAGCTTACAATTGAGGTAAAAAAACCAACTGTTATATAACACATACACACTAAAGTTTGGGAAGGATTATTATTTACGAGGCACTTATCTCAATTTTATCTATGAATATAAAGCATCTCACAGTTAACAATATCTCTAGTATATACTTTCTATCATTGAACTTCAAGGCTCAAGCGTTCTTGAAAACAAATAATCACTCAGACATATGTGCAAGCCTACCTACTTAGCTACTAGCATTTTGTATAGCGTCTGTGGGAACTTGGTCCAATGACCAAACCTGCCCACCACAGCACATATTCCAAAACCAAACAATAGAACAGTTCTTCAATTGTAAACCACACACAAATCATATGAAACCACTGAAACAGTCAGGAAAATGCCAGACCAAAGAAAAATCCCCAATTGCCAAACCTCAGACAATGCGGCCCCATACTCCTCAGAGCCGGCGGGTACACCGTGCAGTGAATACTTGTAATCAACCACGCACGAGGTGATCTGCGCAAACTCGAAGTAAAACAGAGTGGAAAAGGAACAATCAATAGGCAAAGAAATAAACAATAGGGCGAATGTGTGTGTGTGTGTGCGTGCGTGAGTGGTATGTGGTGTGTGTGCATACTCACGGAGAACACGGCGCGGGAGGATCGGACAACGGCATTTAGGAAGTTGGAGGGTAGATCGAGCGTCTCGGCGGAGTTGGAGGGATCGGAAGCAAGGGCGGCGAGGCCAGTGGCGGTGAGCAAATAGGCTGAGGTTTTGGCGCCAAGCTTTAAAGCTCCATATCTGCTCATCTCCGCTGGTAACTAAGAAGAGAGATTTGCGGCTGAGAATCAAAATGAGAAGGGAAAAGAACAGAGTGGAAACTAGTCGTCATTCATTCATCATCAATGGCGTTTATGAGAAACTTCGGTATTTGTTTTTGAGCTACACGACTCTTCATAGTTGTTAATAAGGTTATTAGGCATTCTTATACTATATTCCGACAATTGAATTTTGAGTGCCACCTCAATTTTTCGATCGGCCATGTTAGCGGGTGTTCGCCATAATTCAATTTTGAGACAAAACTACAATACTCAATAAAAATTTGTATTTTGTTGCAAAATTGAAAATGTTAGTTTTATTTGTAATTAAACAAAAGATTAAAGTTTTTTTGGTATTAACTCAAATTAATATAAACAGAAGTACAACATTTTACGATAAAATATTTGACGGATCGGTCGAATGGTTGGACCTCGTCATAAAAAAAAAGTATAAAAATTGAGTCGACTATCAATAATTTGATGATTTTTTTTTTTATTATTATTGATATAGGATTCGAAATATTTAAATCTATCCAAGACTCTAAATTCTATCAACTAGTGTGTGGCCCGTGTGATGCACGGAAAAATAATATTATGATTGTATTATAAATTAAATATACAAATAAATTAATCAAAATTTACCCATTGTTTTTAAATTAAATCGTGTTGGACACAGTCCAACCGGATGGACCGAGAACAAGTTTATACTCAGTCTAGTTCACTTGAATAAAATATTCGCTATTGAATCAACACCAGTCGATTGAACTGGTTGGGTCGATACGATTTTCTAAATAAATTCGGTTATATTTAAAATTATATTAAATAAAATTAGATATTTTAATAAAATAGAGATTTATAAATTTTTTATCAATTAATTTAAACATTTGAATTCTTAAATTGTTTAGATATTTAAGTTATAAAAACTATTATATATTAAAACATATTTTTTAAGAAAAAAAAATAAATTGCATGATTTTTATAAATTAAATTATATGATTAAATTGTATGATTATATTAAAACGTATTTATAAATTAAATTGTATGTTTTTAAAGAAAACAATAAGAAAAATAATAAAACTACTATTTCTGAGTAGCATTAAATGATGACCTATTTTTTTGCTACTAATTTTAGTAAATATGATGGCTCTTTATATAAGTATAGATATATAAATATATCAACTATCAATTCGACTTGGAAGATAACATATATTGATTCAAACCAAGAAATATAAAATTGTTAATTGAAGATCTTAAATAATTAAATCATACTTTTTTTATAAGACTATCCTTATCAGCAACCCAACCAAACCCAATCTAATTATTAATTTTTTTTTTTCTCCTCCACATACACAACTCAATATTCCAACCTAATCTATCTTTATCACCAACTCAACTCAACCTAAATATTTATTTTATTTCAATTTAATTAAAAATTGTAATTTTGTTCTAAAATATATCAAGTGTGGTCTCTATTTGTAGAGAATGAAAATAAAAATATGAATTTTGGTATTTTTTTTTTAGAAACCAAAAAAATACACTTGTACAATAAAAATGGGACAAGTGTCCCAAATTTTCCTCCCAACCGGTTGTGACCCTAGGTCACATTGTGACTTGGGTCACCCATTTCTTGTTGATTTTTCTATTTTTTTTTTTGTTTGTCTTTTCCTGATGACCCAAAAGCTTGGGTCACCGATAAACAATGCCTAAGGTGATGTCATGACCATTAGTAAGATAATAAAAAATATCTAAATACATATGAAAACTAATAATACTAAAAAAGATGGAGAAATATTATTAAGTTTACAAGGGCAGACATTTATATATCTTTTTTGTGTGTAATTTAATTTGCAAAAAGAAAAGAAAAAAGGGTTCGGAATGATTTAATAAGATATAAGACAAAATTGCATTTTGTGCCCTGTAACTATACGTGTGTGGCAAATGTGGACAGCTTCTTTTTGGTTTGGCAAAAGTGCCCCAAAACTTGTTAAAACCCGGAATTCGTGCCCATTTACCTACAAGTTACCGGATATGACCGATTTTTTCGTGTGACAAAACAGGACAGTAACTTGTTAAAATTTAAAATTTGTGCCCAAATTGGACACGAATTTCGGGTTTTAACAAGTTTCATGACACTTTTACCAAACCAAAAAGAAATTGTCCACATTTGCCACACACTCCTAGTTACGGGGCATAAAATGTAATTTTGTCTAAGATATAATTACTCTATATGTTACCTTTTTAAATAACATGATTGTATCATATTGGCACCAGGTTTTAACCAGGAAGGCACTAACGTGGGAATTGGGATGCACCTCCTTTGTATGTGTCCATCACTTACATTTAAATTAAACAAAATACAAGTGCA